GGTGAGTCCTCCCCAGCCACCATCAATGCCAACGTGTAGCTCCTTGGCTATGTGTGGGCTCCACTCACTTCCTACTCTCCACTGGACCAGGACCCCAGTGTTTGGCTAGCCAGGCTAGCCAGCAAGCCCAGGGAGCTTCCTGTGTCCTCTTCTCCAGGACCAGCTTTAATGTGGGTGCTGCACATCCAAACTCAGAGACTCATGCTCCTCACCCACCGAGCCCACGCCCCTGGCCCCTGAACATTTCCTCACACTTGAATCGTATTGTGATCGTCCTGAACCACTATGTGGCACTTAACTTAGCTATTACACATACCATAGTTCTTGGCCACTTGTCTGATATTGAATTTATTCCTTCACTTTTATTATTGGGGAGAAATCCATGTAAATATATACTGTATGCATTTCCATTGGTAGACATTTGTTTTGATTTTTTTCTGCTATAATGAACTCTTAAGCATTTTGTGTGTGTGTGTGTGTGTGTGTGTGTGTGTGTGTGTGTGTCTTCTTTCTGGGTTTGAAGACACAGACAGCCTTGCGAGGTGTGATGGCTGCCCTCCAAACTATGGGAAGCTCTTTGTATTTCTCTTGGCAGAACAGCAGAATTTCTCTTTTTTTCCTTTTTTTGGTGGGGGCTGGGAGGAAGCAAGGGTCTCATGTAGCCTCCGTTGGCCTTGATGCTGGAGGATGACCCTGGCGTCCTGATCCCCCATCTCCGGTGCCCTGGGATGATTTCGGTGGGCGCCACCACACCTGGTCTCAGCTGTCATGCTGGCAGCCACTCAGCTAGCTGAGGCGTACCCCAGCAGAACTGCCCCCACCCTGGCCTGTTTGTGTCTGTCTAGGGAATGCTAAGCCATTGCGGTGTGAGGTTAGACACACGTGTCCGTCTTTCTGAGCAGGGTCTCTCGCTGGGAGCAGCTCTTCTCCTGTGGCCTCGCCAGTTCTCCCTGCGCACTAGATCTGAATTGGTGCTGCTCTCTGTGTTGCAATATCTCCTTTGGGCTCGTAGATCTTCTTGTTTTAAAGGATGTCACAAGATAAGGGGACTGTTTCATTTTGTTTTCAGAGACAGGGCTTCTCCGTGTAACAGAGCCCCAGCTGTCTGGGACTCGCTTTGTAGTCAAGGTTAGCCTCGAACTCAAAGAGTCCCACTGTCTCTGCCTCCCAAGTGCAGGGATTAAAGGCGTGTGTCGCACTTGGCTATTGGTATTATAGTATTCTCCCTGGTAACCACTCTGAGGTTTTCATTTAAGAAATTCTTCCCCACTCTAAGATAAAAAAAAATTTTCCCTCAAAGTCTTCTCTTAAAGTTCAAATTTTCTGATTACATTTATATTTCCCTAATTCACCAAGAGCTGGTGACTGTGGTGTTGGTGGTGGTGTGTGTATAAAAGCAGGAATTCAATTTTACTGTTTCCCTATATACATAAGTGTATATGAACTGTCTCATCATCATTCACCGCCTCATCCTTTCCCCAGACTCTTATGCTACTCCATCAAGCATCTTTGGCTTACCTGGGACTTCCTCTTGTATGATTTTACCTCTCCCTGTCCCTTGATTTGGGGGCAGGGAAAGTTCCCCAACACTGTTTAATCCTCAAAATTGCCCTGGTGGTATATCCAATTCATATTTGATACATCCAATAAAAAAATCCTGTATGGATTTTGACTGACATCGCTGGAGGGCTGGGAAGATGGCTCAGGCCGTTACTACGCAAGTGTGAGGACGTGGGTTTGAGCCTCGGGGCCCACTGGAAGGAACTGCAATGTCGCCTGTAACCCCAGCGTGCCAGGACGGGGCAGGTGGCTCTCTGAAGTTTGCTGGCTGGCCACGCCTACACAGTCAGGCACAGGCCAGTGATAGACACCAATGCAAAATAAGGAAAGGAGGAGGAGGAGAAGAAGGTTGTGAACGAGGAGATGTGAGAAAACACTTTAGACGCATCTTAGGAAAATAATCACTATAATCACTCTAAAGTCTCTGCGGGCAGGAGGCTTCAAAAGAAATATCGGTAGAATTCCCACGTCTGGCTCATGTGCACAAGCTGTTTATAGCTATCTGCCTTGGCAATTCCACAGAGTTGAAGTGATTTAAATTTGGATCGGCAGTGATTCCTCGAGTTGCTTTTTAAAGGGCTGCATTAAAGTACAAAAAGAAAGTTGTCTCAGGCACACAGATGAGGGTAATTAAAAACTGCCAGATCCTCGGAAGCAAGGAGCTGCCGTAAGCAGTTCGTGTGTCCTGAAGCCCAGCATGTGCCCTTGGAAGGTTTCTCACTAGTAAGATGTGAGAGGGGCTTGGTTTTTGAAACAGGGTTTTATGTGTCCCTGGCTGGCCTTGAATTTGATACAGGAGAAGGTCATCTTGATCTGATTCTCCAGCCTCAGCCCTGGGCTGTTGGGATTGCAGGCGCTAGCCACCGAGACAGGTTTATGTGGTGCTGGGGTTGAGGCCCAGGGCTCCATACACAAGCTTTCTGACCACTCCAGGCCACGAGGATTCTTAAAAACCGCTCTGGTTGGTCTGCTACACTTAGCCATGCTGTCTTTTCAAAGGAGGAAAAACTATTTCACTTCCAACACAAAATCCAATAAAGGGGAAGAAAAAGAAATTACAAAGTTAACAAAATAGAATATACAAACAAAAGCTGATAACCTTTGATGTGTCTCAAAATGACTCTGTCAAAGCAAAGCTGCTAAAAAGGCCCAAACCAGGGAGATGGGGGAGGGGCGTAGAGGGAGGGAGGGTGGTGCTGGGAGGAGATGAGGGCGCTATAATCAGGATACAGAGTGAAGAGATTGTAAAATAATAATAATAAAATAAAGAAAAATTTAGAAAGTCCAAACCATGAGCCCTCATTATGAAACTCAGAGGACATCCGGAGGGTTGTTGTCTTAAACTATAAAATGAAATAACATTCGAAGTACCCTGACCAGCACCCCCAGCACGAGAGAGAGAGAGAGAGAGAGAGAGAGAGAGAGAGAGAGAGAGAGAGCGTGTGCGCACGCACACACGCACACGCACACACGCGCACACGCACGCACACACGCACTCCATGCTTTGCACAGGTCACGGGGACCTGGCGGAGCCCTTTCGCCCTGGAGAGGACAGAGCTGGAGGGCCCTTCCTTTTCTCTCCGGGGGATCCCGAACTCACCAACTTCAGGGATGCAGTCCTGCGGATTACAGGATTCTCTCTCCTCTGGCTTCAAGCGGGGGTCGCACAGGCTCCCCGGGGTGGCGTCGTCCGACAGGCACCGCGCTTCCCGCACGCGGAACCCGCCTTGGCAGCTCTTGGAGCACTGTGGGGAGGACGGAGGGGTTAGGGGGCCGTCCAGACGTCCCGGGACCAGCAGGCTGCCCCCCCCCCCCCCCCCCCGCGCCCCGTCTGCCCCGCCCACGCCCGGCAGCCGCTGCCGTTCTTTATCATTCCCAAAGCCATATATTAGGGTTTCTAGTCCCATTTTTTTTTTTTTAATTTGGTGACTCTTACATATTTAAAAAAATAAGTGTTTTGTTTTTTTTTTTTTCCTTTAAAAATCAAAGTCAAGTTGGAGGAAGTAGAGGCGGGTAGACATGAAGTGTGCTGTGTAAGTGCAGGACATTTTCAAATGATAAATGAAAAGTATTAAAAAAAAAAGAAAGAAACTAAACAAAACAAGGAGCCGGAGCTAGGACTCAGAGGCCGAGGGCACCGGCTGCTCTTTCAGAGGACCTGGGTTCAGTTCCCAGCACCACGTGGTGGTCCCCGACTGTGTGTAACTCCAGCCCCAGATCTGACGGCCTCCAAGGGCACTGCGGGCAGGCAGCACGCCCACACATGCGATAAAAAGAAATAAGAAGTTAGACAACAGAAAACCCAGGGCCGTGTCTCAGTTGCCTGTTGTAGCTGACGGGCACTTTCATAATTTTTTTTTAATATATTTATTCTTTTATGTGTATGAGCACTTTGTCTTCATGCCCATCAGAAGAGGCACCAGATCCCATTACAGATGGTCACAAGCCACCATGTGCTTGCTGGGAATTGAACTCAGGACCTCTGGAAGAGCAGCCAGTGCTCTTAGCCACTGAGCCATCTCTCCAACCCACTTCCATACTTCTTAATCTACACCTGGAGGTCTCCCTTCCATTGTTTCGTGCTTGTTTAAAAACTAGAATAAATTTTCTTTGAGACAAGGTCTTACCATGTAACCCTGGCTGTCCTGGAACTCACTGTGTAGCCCAGGCTGGCCTCGAACTCACAGAGCTCAGCCTGTCCTGAGAGCAGGGACGGGAGGTGTGCGCCACCACCTCTGACAGTGCTTATTTCTTTCTAGTTACATTTAGTGTGTGTGTTTGCGAGTGCCATGGTGTGTGTGTGTGGAGGTCAGAGGACAACCCAGAGATGAACGCAGGTCTTCGGGTATGGCGGTAAGCGCCTTTTCCAGCTGAGCCATCTCACTGTTTCTCTGTTTTGTTTTGTTTTGTTTTGAGACAGGGCCTCATGTAGCTCAGGCTGGCCCCAAGCTTCCCGTGTAGCTGAGAATGATCTTGAACTTCTCTCCACCTATTGTCTTTAAAATTTATCATTCTTTGACAGTGTCGTTTTCAGATGAACGGATTTGTATTCCAGTTATTCTCCTCCTGTACGATTTCTATCCATCCTTTCCCACCCTTACCTACGCTCTTACTCTCACCAAGTCTGCCTCCTGCTTTCATGTCTGCTTGTGTGACTCATCGAGTTTGGGAAGGATTGCTTGCATGGGCATGGGGTGGACAATTTATCAGTGGTTACGCTGCTGAAGAAAGTAACTGCCCCTTTCCCAGCAGCCTTCACTGTGGACAGCCCCTTGGAGTTGGGCGGGACCCCATGACTCCCTTCCCTGCCTAGGAGGGACAGCTGCTGGGGCCCTCTGGCAGAGGTTTCGGTGGGTAGCCTCGGATTCTCCCGCCTCCCCTCCAGGCTCTGTGGTCATGCCCAGGTTCTTTGGTGCTGACATGGATTCGGGGCTTTGTGCGTGCAAGGCAAGGGCCCTGACAGCTGCGCCACGTCCTCAGCACTTAACTTTCTATTGTGGAAGGAACCGAGAGCCGTTTGCCTGTGGAACTTTCCTAGTCTTGATTGCTGGCTGTATCCCCAATGGCAGATTTTTAACACATTCCTGTTTTCCTATTTCCTGGGAACTGTTAGCTGGATCCACAGGAGGCCGAAGCACAGCCTGAGCCCCAGGGTCCTGCGGTCATCTCTCTTTTAGGGATGTCAGCAGCCAGAGACATGCAGTGTCTCCATCTACTTAGCTCACCTGGTGTAGCAAAATGGGGACATTCGAATCCCCAATAGGGCTCAGTATTTAAGACTCCTGCCTCCACAGTCACCAGCTCTGAAGACAGGGTCAGAATCCATCCCTCTCAGAATGAAGCAGCTCTACCACTTCCACCCGTTAGGGATTCTGAAGTCATCTCTGACTTATGCAGACATGGATTTAAACATAGAGCATGTTTCATCCCACCCACCGCGGCCACTTTTACTGGTGTGCAAGCTGCCCCCATCCGTGGCCAGCAGGAACCTCCTAACGCTGCCTCCAGAGTCTTCTGGACGTGAACATGTCTTGGGGGACTTCCTCGCAGCTGATGTGGCAGGTTGGGCAGGGTAGCTTATGGAGCTGCCATGCTCTCTCAAAGCCTCTGTGCTTCCTGCTAGTGTCAATCAAGGCTGTACTCTGGAGGGCAGAAAGTCCCTTTGCCACTAGATTTCTAGGCTCTTTCAGTGGGTGGAACTGGGAAAGAATTTCTAAAAGACAATTTATTATTATTATTATTATTATTATTATTATTGGTGTTTTGAGACAAAGTTTCTCTGTGTAATAGCCTTGGCTGTCCTGGGACTTGTGTTGTAGACCAGGTTGGCTTTGAACTCAGAGATTCACCTGCCTCTGCCTCTGCCTCCTGAGTGCTGGGATTAAAGGTGTGCGCCACCACAGCCAGCTACCTAAAGACAACTTATAAGTTCACAGATGATGGAACACTTGTGTGTGTGTATGTCCCTGTGTATGTGTGGGGTACATGTGCACACGTGTGGGTATTCAGGTGCAGGCCAGAGGTTGATGACAGAGGCCCTTTCCAGTTTTCTCTCCACTGTGTTGACTTGGTTACTCTGGAGGGAGGTAGTCTTTCTATGCACGGTGGCGGTCCTGGCACCGGTTATGTAGAGCAGCTGGCCTTGAACTCAGAGATTGCCAGCCTCTGCCTCCTGAGCTGGGACTAAAGGCATGTCCACCGTGTGTAGCTCTCCGTTTTATTTTTTGAGTTAGCATCTCTCACGGAACCTGAACTCACCATTTCAGCCAGCCTGGCTGACCAGTGAGCTCCAGGTCTCTACCTGAGATACCCTGTCCCTCCCCCAGGGCTGGGCGGCAGGCGCTGCGGAACCCAGCTTACAGTGCAGTGCTTTAACATTGTCTGAGTCCTTCAGCCATCAGACACTCCCCGCAGCAATTCTGTCAGAATTCAGCAAGGACACCTGGAACCTGCCTGTTAAACACAAGTTTCACAGCTCGGAGGGGCCGGGAATTCGTCTTTTCAAGTGAGATCCTCCAGATACACCCTGAAGCTTGAGAATCATTGCATTATGAACATTTCCGCGTGGAAGCCCACATCTGCGAGCTTCAGGGTCCCCCCTCCTTGTGACCACAGGCAACCCAGCATCTCTTCCTGGTTGGGCCGAGGACCCCACCTGGGTCATCTGCAGGCCACCGCAACTCACCATGCTCCACTCTGTGCTGAACCATTTAGCTCCGCAGGGCTGGAGGTGGCAGGCTTGCTGGCTTGGGGGCTTCTCCAGGAAGGAACACTCAGAAGGGTCTAGCACTTCAAAGGTGTCTGCATTCTTCCTAACACAGATCACCTCCCTCTGCTGTGTCCCACTGCCACACTCAACAGAGCACTGGAGGAGAAGAAGCAGAGACAGATGGATGTCACACTCCCTCAGGAGCGCCCTTAGGTCTCCTGCCTGAGCTGCTGCCCTGACTTCCGGTAATGACGGACCATGCCCTAGAACAGCACTGGATGGAATGGACCCCTCCCTCCCAGTTTGGTTTCCGCCAAAGTGTTTTATCAGAGCAACAGGAAGGCAAAGCAGGAGGCTCTTCTTAACAGCCCGGGGAGGCGGGCATTGTCTTCTGTGACTGAGGAGAGATCACCCCGCATCAGGAATCCCATGAGATCGGAGCTGGGTTTAGTCACACCGGTGTCCCACAGGGACGCTCACCAGAGCAGCACTGGAAACACTCCAAACCCTTCTCTCTGAATCTTTCAAATCTTACAGATTTTATCAGTCAAAACATTAAAAGTCCAAGAAGAGAACATGTTCCCATGCTGTCTACAAAAACAAGTCATTGACATGGTTGAGATTAGAAAATATCTGCATATGTGTGTGTGTAATACATATGTATATATGTATGTGTATATATGTATATGTATATGTGTATGTGTGTGTATATATATATATTTTCCCCCCCCCAAGACAGGGTGTCCTGTAGCCCAGGCTGGCCTCAACCATGTAGGAGAGGATGATCTTGAACTTCTGATCTTCTGCCTTTACCTTCCACGTTCTGGGCCTCACGCCTGTTAGGCAAATATTCAGCCACTGGGGCGCTCCAGAACTAATATGAATCTATAGATGTCTAATTTTATGCGTGTGGGCTTGCATGTATGTGTGTGCCACATAAGTGCCTGGTACCCACGGAACCAGAAGAGGGTACCGATCCCCCGACCTGGAGCTAAGGACGGTTGTGACCCCACGCGTGTGCCGGGAACTGAGGTCAGCTCTTCAGCAGGAGCGGCAGCGCTGGCAGCTGCCTCCAGCCCCCAGTTTCACATCCTCGTATTCTGACCGGCTGTTGTACTCTGCACACCGCAGGCACCCTAACGACCATTGCTGAGGTAGATGAGGCTGGCCTTGGATTTTCCACCATCCTGTTGGGATTACAGGTGTGTCTCACCACCCCTGGCTTGACGGTTGTTATGGCTGTGTGTTATTTTAATGGGTAATGACAAATGAAAACACCCTGAGGTCACGCACATTCCCATTGAAGTTTGCTTTTGTCTTTGAATAACTGCTTCTTTAAAACTGCGCTTGGAGACAAGGTCTCACTGTGAGTGCTGCTCTCCTGGAACTCACTATGTGGACTAGGCTGTCCTTGAACTCACAGAGTTCTACCACCTCTGCTGGGACTAAAGGCATGTGCTACCATGCCTGGCTGAAGAGTTTTTCCTTAAAATGGACCCGTGGGACAGGGTGACCGGGGAAAGACAAATGGATCTTTCTTCTTCCTGCCCTTCGCTGTCAGCTTGCTTTCCAAAGGGCCTGTATCAGTTACAGGGGGAAAGCTGGCCAGCTCTATCAGGTCTGTTTTTAAAGCCACTTCAAAAAAATTCTCTATGGAGCAGAGTCTGGATAATGTACAAATCATGACCTTCAGCCAAAAGGCCGTGGAGAATCAGCCAGGCCTGGGAGCCAGTGCTAAGAGGGCCAACAGCTCAGATCCAAAGTGGCTTGGGGGGGGGGGGGAGGGGCAGTCACTAGGATGGCTCTCTCTATTTTCCCTGGGGGTTCATGTTCAATGCTGGAACAGGACGGAAAAAAGTAGCCATTAATTTTCAAGTTACTTTAGATTTTTTATTATCTGTTCTTTATAACATATACTTCCAGCTTAAAAAAAAATCTGTGTGTATGATGCATGTGTGTGTATGTGTGCATGCATGTGTGAGGGCAGACAAACATGCACCGTGGCGTATTGTGGACGTCCCACAAGCTTGTCTTGTTGGCCCTCACAGTCTGCTTTGAGGCAGGGTCTCTCGATGCTCGAGCTGGGTATTCCAGGCCGGCCTGGAGCTTGGGTAGAGCCTCCTCCCTCTGCCTCCAGTGATGGGGTTAAGGGTGTGTGCGTCCACACCCAGCCCCACCTCCAGATTTTTAAATGGAACCTTCCGACCTCATCAAGTACTGACAAACCAGCTTAACCAGTGGCAGCGACACAGCAGCAGACACAGCAGCAGGAGCCACCTGCTGCATTTCCTGTGTGTCAGGCACTAGGCTACTCACGGTTACTCCCTGAGGCACAGGTATTTGTTCTGTTTACTGAAGTAGCGTAAGTGAACACAGCAGAAGGGGGCACTTGTAGGCTGGATGAGGCACCAGGAACACAGCGGCGTTTGCAGGTCACAAGTAGCAGCATTGCATCCTTTAAGGACAGAGCGGTGTGCCCGGCTCTGGCACTCTCCTGACCCCGGGGACAGAGCGGTATGCCCGGCTCTGGCACTCACCTGACTCCAGCCGCCAGTGAACCACTCCACCCTGCCTGTGCAGGGCCCGTTGTCACACGGCGTAGTCTCTGCTGGCCGGTTGTTGCCGCAGCCTTCCAGAGGCAGGCTGCTGACAAGGTTGGTCATGCACACCACAGAACGAGTCCTCACTCCGGCCCCACACTCCGCCGAGCACTGCAGGACAGAAGGAAGCCGTGTTAGCAGGGCGATACTTCCGAATGATGCCTTGGCCTCACCGTCCCTCAAGCTCTTTCCTCTGTAAGTGGCTGACAACCTCTCCCGCACACCACACGGTGTGCTTCACCGCAGGAGTCTCCTCCTCATCGGTTACTTTCACTTCAGTGGTTTTAGTTGCTCATGGACAATGTTTGCACCCTTTATATGGGAGACTCTAGAGACAGACAACTTGTCAGTTGTAAGCGGTCATTCTTCTAGACTTGCATCCCAGCATTCTCCCCTCACCCCACGCTGCGGCATGGCTGCAGTCCGAGACGTGAGAGGCTCTGAGGGCACACGGTTCCCTCTTCCCGGAGGCCCTTCCCCTCACCAGGAAACACCAGAACCTGAGGGACGGTCTCCAATGCCCTTCCTTAAGAACGTCCTTGCTGCCCTTTCACATACCCTGCAGCCTTTACGTCACACGCTGCTCCCATCCCCTTCCTTCGTCTCTCAAATTGTTTAAGAGTTTTGTGTGTATATACAATGTGTAAGTATGTAAATATGTTCTGTGTATGTGTGAGTATGTGTAGGTGTGTGCACACCTGTGAGGGGTGCTGGAGTTCATGTTGGGTGTCTTCCTCATTCGATTTCTACCTTATGTTTTGAGTCGGGGTTCTCACTGAGCCTGAAGCTCACCAGCTTATCTACACCGCCTGACCAGGGAGCCCAGGGACCCACCCCTCCAGCGCCAGGCTTGCTAGAGAGAAGAGAAAATTCTCATAGACCAGAGCTGGTTAATTAAACAACCTTTCTCTCCTGCCACTTCAACTCATGGCTTTGTCCCTGCCACATTTGCCATCTTGTGATGGCCAAAGCCCTTTTCTCATGCCATGTCACTATGTATTTTCCTCCTTGTTGGAGCAGAGCACAAGCCCTCTAAACATGCTAGCTTTTTGTGGTCTTCACTTCTTTCCCATGAAGTTTTCTTTGTAACATAAAACATTAACATCAAATTTCATATATATATATGTGAAATATATATTAACATCGCATTTCATATATACCATATACATTTGCCATATACATGAATGTGATGTTATTGTATATTTCATATATGTGTATATATATATATATATATATATATATATATATATATATATGAGAAATTTGATGACAAAATAATATGGCTCTCTAGTTGAGCTTTTGTTAGGGCACTTGCAGGCTGAAGCCAGAGAGAACCTAAGGGTGTAGGGAGTTCTGACCCAGCTGGGGTCACAGCTGTCTTTACTACTTTAACCGTTTGTATCATTATGAAGATTCTGAGACAATGAATCAACTCTTTGGATTAATAAAGCTATTTGTTGTGGTAAAGGGATAACGAAGGCTGGAAACATTTTTTGTTCTACTTTATGTGGTCTAAAGTTCACAACTGTGAGATTTAAGGTATTTAAAATCTTTTGTACAGAAAAGTAAGTCAAGGGGGCTGGAGAGATGGCTCAGCAGGTACTAGTGCTCGCTAGCTGGGCATGGTGGCAAAAGCCTTTAATCCTAGAACTTGGGAGGCAGATCTCTGTGAATTTGAGGCCAGCCTGGTCTACACAGTGAGCTCTAGGGCAGCTGGAGCTACACAGAAAGACCTTGTATCAAAATTTTTAAAAAAGAAAGAAGAGAAAAGAAGAGAAAAAAGGTGTGCTTGCTGCCTTGGCGGAGGGCCTGAGTCTGGTTCCAGCACCCACCCAGAACTGATCTCAGCTGTGTGTAACTACGAGTCTCAGGATCTGATGCCCTTGCTGTCGTCTGTGGCCACCACATGAGCATGGTACAGACACACATACACACAAGCAGATAATAAACAAATCAGCAGAGTGAACTAAGTGCTGTTGACTGTGATGTCTACAGACACTTCTCCCTGCATGGCTCCCACCTGACAATGAACTTAGTCTTCTGCTTTCCACACTTAGGCTGTACATGTGCCGGGCCAGGCGGGGTCTCTAGATCACCCATGTTCTCAATTAGTCAAAGACGGAGTCAGAGCCCGGGGAGGGGACCGGATGGTGGGACCTGAAAGAGCTTCTCTATTTCACAGTGGCTGGGGAAAAGCTGGCCGGATTTGGATTTGAAAGGAGCATCTCAGGCCTTGGAAGCCTGCCGGCAAGAGCGGGGGAAGACGGGGAACCCCTCACGCAGCAGGGACTGGGCAGCGCACATTGGCTCTTCACCCTTAGACATGCTCCTGAAAGCTGGGCCGGGCCTGCTGCGGTAGGCAGAAAAGAGATAGCACCGCAGTCACGCCCTGATGCCAGCAGCAGCTCACTATAAGGCTGTCATAACTGTTTCTCGGTTGCTCTCCATCTTATTTTTATGATTGATTTATTTTTATTTTGTGAGACAGGAATTATTATATAACCCTGGCTGTCCTGAAACTTGTGGTATAGACCAGTGTATCCTTGAACTCACAGAGATCGACCTGCCTCTCCCTCCTGAGCGCTGGGATTAAAGGCTCGAACCACAATGTCTGGATTTTCACCTTATCTTTCGAGTCAAGGCCACTCGCTGAACCTGGAGCTCACTGAGACAGGCTGACTGGGGAACTCTACCTCCCCTGGACTAGAATTACAGATGCCACCATCATGCCTGGCTTTCATGTGGGTGCTGGGATCTGAACTCAGGCCCTCAGGCTTGAGCAGCAGTCACTGTACCCACCGAGCCATCTCCTTAGCCCCTACCTTCTTCTTCTTCAAAAGGTCCACCATTTCAGCCACCACAAGCTTTGTCTTCACCACTCTCATGCCGTTACCTTCTTTCCATTCGTCCCCAGAATCCCTCTTTCAGAGAAATTCCATTTTTGTCTCTTACAGATGAACTCAACTGACTTCGGGCTCCTCTTGCCTAAGGGGGTGACTCAGAGCAGCTCATTTGCCCTCGAGTTTTCTTTAACAGCTCGGCCCTGAGAAAGACCAGACTTCTGGGGTTGGGGACGGTGTGGAACAACATGCTTTTTAGCCTCTGAAGATCAGGGAAGGTGCCTACAATCACTGCATGTCTACTGTACCCCAGATACCAAATCTATGAAGTCATCCCTAATCTATAGAATGCTAAGGAGAAGCAAGCAGTCCCCCCACCAACTGCAGAGACCCTTGGTCCTCATAGGAGTCTATAAACCCGAGTCATCTCTGGCCTTTTTGCCAAAGCTTGTATTGCAGCTGGTGTTCCTCTGAGCAAAACAGCTGCCATCTTTAACAGATCAGCTGAGCCTGCTTGTAAGAGTCAGTCAACTGGGCCTGGGGAGTGTTGACATTCCTCAGGGAGGGAGGACATGGTGGGGGGTTCCTGGACTTCGCTTCAGGCTCCAGCCACTGGCATGCAGTTCTCCGACTGCACATGGCCTAGGAGCATCTGAGAATATAGAGTGGGGGCGGTGAGGACTGTGGTGTTGGAGTAGGAATTGTCCCCACACACAGGCTCATATATTTGAAGGCTTGTTCACCGGGAGTATCACTAGTTGAGAGGGATTAGGAGGTGTGGCCTTCTTGGAGGAAGTGTATCACTGGGGGTGGGATTTGGGGTTTCAAACGCTCCAGTCAGGCCCAGTATCTCTTCTCCCTGTTGCCTTCGGATCTGGATCTGGATGTAGAACTCTCAACTTCTCCAGCAACGTGTGTGCCTGGTGGAGCCTTGTTAATCCCTCCCCCTGCCCACACCCTGACAATAACAGACTAAACCTCTGCAACTGGAAGCAAGCCCAACTAAATGCTGTCTTTTTGCAGACGTTGCCATGGTCATGGCGTCTCTTCACAGCAAAACTGACTGAGACAGTAACCAGAGAGGGGACCCAGCTCTGCAGCCATGGAGAAGCCGCCCTGCGTCTCCTGTGTGCTGGGCTCACCTTCACTCCCGTGCCAACCCCTCGCCCACGCTCTGCAGGCAAGCCTGCAAACTCTGGTCTCCCAGTTTGCCACTGGAATCTAGGAGGAGGAGGGGGATGTCCCCGGCGTCTCTCTGGGGAAGGAATCAACCTGGGATTCTGAGCTACCAGCGTGTCTCTGAGCCTCGGTGAAATCCCGAGCCACGAGGGATCCCCTCCTGATCTGTGCCCTCGGCACACTCACCCTCTCGCTCCATTCTGTGAGGAACCAGCTCTTGGCACAGGGCCCCATGTCGCAGTTCTCGATGTCGTTCGGCCGGAGCTTCATGTTGCACTCCTCGTCGTCCACCACGTCCCCGATGTTGCTCACACACTTGACATCTCGCTTCCGCTGCCCCACCCCGCAGGGCACTGAGCACTGAAACACAGCGGGCTTGGCTGTTGTGTCCTCGTTCTTTGTCACCTGCTCCTCAACAGCTGATGTGAGGAGGCCCCCGCTTTGTCGGGAACCCCCAGGGGAGTGGGATGGGGAAGGGGCGATCATAGGAAAACTCCACGACCTGTTCCTCTAAGAACCTTCTTGGATGGCATCCTGCTTCCCGGCCTGCTCTGGGCCTCAGCCTTCCATCTGCGGGAGGGGTGCACAGCACTGGAAGGTGCTGGCTCTGCTAGGAGTTGCTAACTTTCTTTTGACACATGGGCAGCTTAGGGCAGGTGAAGTCTGCAGGCACAAGACCCACACAGGCTCACCCGCGAGACTAGATGCAGGCATGCACACTGAGCTATTGCTGTGAGCTGTGTTTGCAAACAGGCTAACCCGGCAAACATTCCCCCCTTCCCAAGCGTTATGCATCCTAGTAGGAGCTATGGAGAGAGAGGCGGAGGCCCCTACCGAAGTCCAGTCGGTCCGAATCTGCCACTCGCTGCAGATCTTGAGCTGGCAGGTGCTGGTGGTCTCTGGCTTCTCCAGGTGCTGGCAGCGGTAGGGCTGCACGGCCAGGCTGCGGTTGGCATACACCTGGCGGCACAGGACCTGGCGGTGCTGCATGCCCAGGCCACAGGTTTTGCTGCACTCGGACCACTCCCCGATGTCCCAGCTGGTCCGTGGAATGGGTTCGGGGTGGGCAGAGGTGGAGAGAAGACTAGTTAACGGCAAAATCCCCGGGGTCCCCTTTTCCCAGAGCAGAGCCCACAGGCTGGGGGCTGTGACAGAGCCTGCTGGGTATGCTGTTTACCTGACGAGACTGCCCAGGCTTTCTGTACAGTTACAGAGAGAGGAAGTCCAGATGACTTCTATCTGGTGATCAAGGCAGAACCCCTCAAGGATCCCTCAGATTAGCTTACTTTCCCTATAACACTAACCCACTTGGGACCCAAGAGATCTTACTCCAGGCATCCTCTACTGTCCACCATTTCCGAGCCCCAATCTTGACAGTTACTGGATGAGACATGATCGTGAATTCAGTATGTATTTGGATAAAATTTTTTTCCTTTACTCTAAGGATCAAGCTTTGACCTTTTAGGACCCACCCCAACCTACCTGAGACCGTCTCAGTTATCACTCAATAACTCGCTGCCAACCTCTCTTGGGCATGCCCCTGACTCCTCCAGGCCAACTTGGCCTCACCTGTCTGTGTGCTCAGCTCACCTATAAACTGCCTCCCTGGGTTCTCACTCCTGTGGCCTCCCCTGTTTTCCCGGATGGGCTTCCTAGCTAAGCCCAATCGCTTGTGACAGACCATCAGCAACCCAGCTCTCCCAGAAGGACAGGCCGGCTTGCTCAGCAGTCTATCCCGCACGCAGTTCCAGCCAGCGTTTGCACATCAAATTTATCTGGGGCTAAAACCTCAACTAAGAGGTTATGGTCGTCAAGCAGACGTGGCCTGATGCCAGGCTGCCTATCCAGGAGGCTTCTTACAAGGCTGGGCAGGGGAACAGGCTGCAGGGCTCCTCCTCCGGGGTCGGCTTCATGCTGGGGTCGCAGTAGCTGTCGGGAACCTCCTCGTGGGTGTTTCTGTGCACACAGCGGAAGACAGGGTACTGCGATCCTGCAACGACAGGGAAGGCGCCTGAAGTCTGGTCCACACCCTGGGATGCAGGCACCTGGGTGTCAACGGAAGCAGATGCAGGACCAGAGGCACCAGGTCCCATAGCGCTTCAGTTTGTTTGCTGATATAGACACAGCCACACATCTCTAGCGGGGGCTGTGGCTGTGAAGTGGGGACACACACACACACACACACACTCGCGTGTCCCCATTCAGCCATGAACCCATATACATTATACACACGTGTACATTCATGTATGCACTCACACAAATGCACACACAGGGACGGTGGAAGAGCTCACTAGTGGATGGAGTGAGTGTGGATGGGCCCAGCAGAGGCTTTTCCAGTACTGTGTAGAGGTGTCAGCGAGAAAATGCCCTGGAGGGCGTAGCTGTGAATGGAGACCTGGCCGGGCCCAGGTGTCTGCGCACGCGTGGCAGGGAAGGTGGCTGTCCTCGGGACCGATATGGAGCGAACTGGCCTGCTAGCCAGGTGAGTGTACCTGAGGCCGAGGCAGAGGAGAGTCAAGACTTCCAGAAGAGCCTTGGAACACATTTCCCGCGCCCTAACTGTCCTGCTTCAGGCTCCGGCTTCTCAGCACAGCCGCTGCCCATGGGCAGGGCAATCCCGGCTCACCCCTCGGACCCCGGCACCTAACAGAGGTCTCTCAGCTCGTAGTACTTTTCTAGAACGCTAGCAACTGCTTCCTGTTTTTGTTTTGAATGCACAGAAGAGTTTCACTGCCTTAAAAAAGACAAACATTTTCTATAAAAAGCCAGTTAAGGGTGGTTTCTAGGCCTAGCTTCAATTTTGCCTTTCTCTCTGCTGCCACCTCCTGGCCGAACTTGAGTGTTCCTGGAGGTCCTTAAGCGGAGTGTTAACTGTGGCCCCAGACTAGGCCGACGCTCTTCCTAGGCGGAGCGCTGTCAATCATTTAAAGCCACTTTATCTGTACTTCTAACAGGTCAGAATTCTTTTTAAAGAACGGTAACTCACTACAATTTGAGCTGTACCACAGAGACTAACTTTTAAAGTTCCTTTAGAAACCTTTTATTAGGTTTGCTCTTTGACAGTTCTCTCCACGGAGGCAGCGCATTCTGATTCCCCACACTCTCGCCCTCCCACCTGTCGTCGCCTGCTCCCTTCAGGGAGTCCATACCTGCTGATGTAAAGCCAGTTAAAAACCCGAGCCGAGGAGGTGCTGGGCTCTGGGGACCCTGCTAGCTGCTCTCCGGGTCACCTTGCTACCGTGACAGAGCATCAAGCTGCCTTCTAAGCGCTTATGTTCGTACCTGTTTCTCTGTCTTAGAGAAGTGTCCCTCCTCGGCAGATGGCTGCACAGCCACACGCCGTTCAAGAGACTGAGAGCTCAGCCACAGCTTTTAGCACAAGTGCCTCAAGGTCATCCATCACGGGTGTGACACAGGGACCCTTCACGCTGGCCTCGCCTGACACCCTGAGCCCCTAGTGAGGTTTATATAAGAAATATAACAGTTTGTAAGAGAGCCTTGTGTCTGAGATATCCTGTGTTGAGATTACTGCAGTGAAGATGTACACGTAGCTACAACGCAAGACCGTTATTTACAATCTTGCAATTAAGTTCAACTACCAGCTGACTTAAAAGCAGTCATGACTACGGAATTAATAGCAACTTCCTCTTTGGTATTAAGCTTTGTTCAGCAACGTGCCTGCGCCCCTTTCATAGGGCATAGTTTATTCCACATTTAAAGATCAATTTCTCCTTATTGTAGGGGTATTTTGGCTGCAGGTATGTCTGTGCACCACATCTGCACAGCGGCCGCAGAGGCCAGAGGACAGCGTCAGAGCTCTGGAGTTTCAGCTGTCAGCTACCATGCGGGTGCTGGAAATCAAACCTGGATCCTCAGGAAGAGCAGGCAGTGTTCTTAACTGCCGAGCCATCTCTCCAGCCCCAGGAGACATTTTTAAATTAAATTCGACCAACATTGAGCACATTGTGCCTAGTTACAAAGATGAATAAGACTCAGCCCACAGCCTGCAGTGTGCACTTGAAACGGAGCTATTAGGGGATTAAGTACAGATCTTAGGTAGCCCGCTCCTTTCCTCCTAGACCATGCAGGTTATTTTTTTTTTCACTTACAGCTTTGTGGGGTGAAAAGCAAGAGTAAGGTACCCCAGCTGCTTGGCACTCACAGAAGGAGGAACCTAATACATTTAGCACAATGATATCGGATACCGTAGGAACACTCTGTGCTGGAAGATGGGCCTTGCGTGGGGTTGTCTGGCGGATGGCCACTGCTTGCCTCCCCTCCCATTTGGCTGTTTTTACATGCATTGCCCATTGTCCATGGTCCAGCTCCATGGAAAAGTACCAAAGAAATGAAACCAGAGGCTCTTTGTCTCTCTGATGCTGAAAAAATATCGGCTTTTTAACTTTTGCCTCTGGTTTCTGTATCTGTGGAGCAGGACTTGGCTCGTCACCTGCAGTTCTTCCATTGTTTAAGACTGCGAAGCAATGGTTCCTCTGGTTGCCAACAAGCAAGGAGAGGGTGGGGGGAGGCACTGGCTGGCTTCAGGCAACCTGGCTCATATGCAGCCACAGTGATCTACACAGATACATGCCACCCTGGGAATGGAAGCAGAGACTGAGGTCTGTAAGACACTATAAAGAGTCGGACAAAAGAAGGATCAGGAAAAAACTGACTAACCCCAGACTTGGAAGCACAGGAACCAAAAAGCCAACCCAGGAAATTGGCAGAGTCTGAGCATCATGGTTGATGGCCACAGTGATCAAGAGCCACTCCTGGGTGCCTTCCTGAGAAAATGCAGTCTTGGTTGGTAGGGTGCTGCCTAAAGCAATTTCTTAATGCTTAGACATGCAGGGGAGAAGAGCAGGCCTGGTGAGCTCCACCAGGGGTCATGGGAGCCATCCGAGAGGGGTCTGTGAGGCTCAGCTGGTGGCCGCTCCAGGGCAGAAGACCACACTGAGCCAGCGCACTTGCCATTGGTTCTGAGGACTCAGTTGAGCCACATGCTTTACACATCTGCACGGCTCGTGCCCTGAACGTCTGTTGCCATCTCTCCAGTGGAGCACAGGTTCCGGCTGTGTCCATCATTGCCCAAGGGCTGTGTGTGTGGCCAAACGTAGCTATGAATGTGGCTCAAGAGGAACGCTGTAAGCTTAAAACAGCAGCAGCAGCACTGAACGTGACTGTGAGGCTCGTGGGCAGGAACTCTGTGGATGGAAATATTACGGCACAGCATCAAAAGGACGGAAAGGCGTCCTGGGGAAGCGAAGAAGGCATTTGTCAGCTCCCGCTGTTTGTCACATGAGAAAGGAGGGGAAAACGAGTCTCCACTCACGTTTTATTTCCAAGGCACCTCTTCAGAAACACAGAAACTTCATAAGCAGTGCTGTTTGCAGGGCTAAAGACGTGAAGGCGACAGTCACCCCAGACACTCAAGCAGCAAATGCCAAGTGTGGCATGCACATGCGCACGTGGGTACATATGGACCACACACTTACAATGGGGCGTGAGTGCTGCTTTTCACACTTTACATTCTGGGCGTGTGCACGCGCGTGTGTGTGTCTGCCTGTCCAAGGTAAAGAGTACACATGGTTTAACTTGGACACCGAAATTTACCTTCTCGGGACTAGACAGATGGCTTAGCAGGTAAGAGTGCGTGGTGCTCTTCCACAGGAAGGTTCAGCTCCCAGTCACCCATAATGCCAGTCCCGGAGGATCTGACGCCCTCTTCTGGCCTCTTTGGGACCTTCCTTCATGTGGTGCACGTCAACTATGTAGGCATTTAGAAAACTAAATCCACATTCTTTATGTTCTTCACAGGGCAAAAATAACAAAGGCATAAACACTACTCTTGTGCCTTTTCTGATAGTTCGCACTGTGTACGTTTGAAAGGTGGCAACAATTTTAAACATCAGTTTATTCAGGAAACAGCCGAGGAACTCACAAAGAGAAACATCCTGGGCTCGCCATTATGCTGAGCACACAGGCTGGGAAAGCAGACACCCAGAGCGAGCCTGCAGCCAAGGGGAGGAATGTGTCCTGATGAGCTGTGAGTCCTCGGAAAGAGTGCTCACCGGAACCATGCAGGGTCAGGCAGGCAGGGTCACCTGACCTGGGGCTTGGAATATGTGATGGTTAACATTATAACCTTGAAAATCGCCCATGAGACAAGTCTCTAAGCATGTCTGGGAGTATCCAGTTAACTCACTCGGGAAGACCCACCGTACCCGTGGGTGACACCATTCCCTAGGCTTGTGCCCTAGACTGAATGAAAAGGAGAAATGGGGCCGAGCGCAGGCGTTGATGGCCTCTGCTGCCTGACTGTGGATGCCACGTGACCAGCTTCTCCACGATTCTGCTGCTGCAACTTCCTACCTGACGGGTGGCACCCACAAACTGTGAGCCCCAGCAAACCCTTCCTTCCGGTCTTTTGTCACAACAATGAGACTAACATGGAGTATGAAGAGGACAGTAAAGGAGGGAGAGGGAGAGAGCTGGGGGCACAAATGGCCAGAATCTTTGATTCTACAGTGCTCCTCCATCATGTCTGCTATGGGCAGGCAGCAGGGTTACACGCGTGGGCCCTTGCCTCACTAGACCCACAGAACATTACCGTGTGGTCCCTGGACAGAGAGGGAAGAATCTTCTATACACATAATCCTGGATTGCAAATCACACAGTGACAGTTTTCATTTGAGATATCTGGGCACCACACCAATTTGTAAGTGGCAGAAGAATTGGAAGAAAGTCCATTTGGATCCAGGTTCCTTTGTCAATGCTGAAATGCCTACTTATCTCTAATAATACCTTGGATAAAATCTTATTGAATGACTTTGGCCTTTTGGAAGAATTATGTCTAGCTGTCTGACTCTGTCAAGACAGGTCTACAGGCATCTCATTTTCCCGTATAAACTTATAATAGAAGCCAATTCAGTCACTCTTCAGGCCTCATTCTCCATGTTCATGTAGTCTGAGCACAACAAAGCCGGTGCAATAAGAGCTCATCAGGTAATTCTCCAATTACCAGGTAGAGTCATGGTGGAATCGCCAAGGCCTTGGGCACAGAGAACTCCAGCACTCACCCCCACTCTCCTACCCCCTGAATATGGAAAGAATCAAAGCCTTCAATTCTAGTCCCAAAAGCCATTAGGCCAGTGCTCTTCTGAAAAAGATACCCTCAGACTCAAGATTCTCTTTGTGCGTGTGTCCACATGTATAAACGTCGGAGGATAACCTGGGGTGTTGGTCCTCATTTTCTACCTGGTTTAAGGCAGATTTACTTTGTTGTTTCTGCTGGGCAGGCCAGGACAGGTAGCTTGGAGGTGCCTGGGAACTCTCCTGTTCCTATCTCCCATCTCTTCATAGGGCGCTTAGGCTACATGGCTAACTCTTATTCGGGTTTTGGGATTTGAACTCAGGTCCTCATGCTCGCAGAGCAAGTGTTCTCACATACTGAACCATCTCCCCAGCCCAGATTCAAGTCTCTTGAAAAAAGAAAAAAAAAAAAAAACTAATCATCAAATCAATGTCCAGGTGGATCACACAGCCTTCCAGGCTTTGGAAAGCTTAGGACGGGTTACAGCCTTTGTTTCTATAGTAACCTCTCCTCAGAGAATGGACTATTTCAGGCCAAAAACAGAGTAAGATACCCTGTATAGGAAGAAGAGTAAAACTGTGTGGGTCATGGGTTTTCCTTGCAGGGAGGACCTCGAGTCACCTTGAAACAGAGGCAGAGTCAACTTCCAGACCAAGGGCCCCCCAAAACTAACCATCACACAAGGGTTCCAGATGCCACTTTCCCCGTCTCTCCTGACTTTGGAGTTTCCAAGGGAAGGTCCCTGGATCTGTGTTACAGTCTAGACCTGAGGTAACCATCATATGATACAGTTTAGTCCCCTGCACGCATGTCACCTTGATTCAAAACCACAGCCATGTTTGGTTTGAGTCTATCTAAGTTTCACTGAAACTCCACCTTTCTCCTCAACTCCTATCTGCCTTTTCCTTGGAGAGAAGCTTCATGCTGCCTCTGGCAAGTGGGCTCTCTTCTTGCAACAGTTAATAAATATGACATTGTTAGGCTATGGGATTTTCTCCTGTGTCTAGCCGAATGGTTACACTGGGTGAACCCGGGATTAGAATCTTTATCAGGAGAGTAGGAAAGGAGTAGATGAGGATGAAAGCTAATGAGTGAAACCCCAAGACCCAGAGAGTTGTTACAACTATCTGAAATCTTTAGTTTTGAGAATGGCATCCAATCATCCATCTGTAAACTTGATTTATCGACGTTTAGACTCTGAAGTGTGTGGATGCTCTTTGATTACTGATGACAATGTAGGTGCAGGGAAAGCACACTCAGCAGATCTGTGTTGCCCAAATGCCAGCTGCTTTTGTCTGTTTGTTTTGTTTTGTTTTTCAAGACATAGTTTCTCTGTGTAACAGACCTGGCTGTCCTGGAACCCACTCTGTAGACCAATCTGAACTTGAACTCAGAGGTTTACCTGCCTTGACCCCCTGAGTACTGGAATTAAAGATATCCACCATCACTGCCTGGCTTTCTTCTCTTTCTTTTTTCTTTTTAATTGCTTTTATTTGTTGGGACATGGGAACGCTCAGCCTGAGTGTCTCCTATGCTTGAGCTCTTGAGCCATGAAGGCCTGGCGTGACAGCACATGTCTGTTTGTGTGTGTGGATGCCCTGGCTTACTGTGTCAGCATGACCTCTGCGGTGCCGGTGAAGCGTGTGGGATGCTTATGCGAGCACCTGTGTACCAAAGCACGGTGAGCCTCTCTGGTTGGCAGTATTCATCGTGACTTGTCACACATCATTGCTGGAAGAGTCTGGTGGCTGGGAGGGGCACCTGGAGGCTGGTTTCCTGAACTTGGCTCATGCGGACATGTGCTCACATGAATCTGTATTCTTTCACTGTGATAAACAGGGGTGTGAGGAAATTTTTCGAATCCCTGAGTCCCAGTACTGGGCGAGGCTGTGGGTTATCTTGGAACTCTAACAGAATATGTCACAGGAGCAGGCCGTCTCGACTGCTTCACGTTGGCGAGGGCTGTCTCACCTGCTGGGCTCTCCCTTATGTTCCTCACTGGGGCTTTCCCCACAGGCTTACCTTTCCCACAGGTGGTGGAGCATTCTGTTGTCCCCAGCTGCTTCCAGTTGTGGTCCCGGCTTCGCCTGGGGGGCTGCGGAGCTGGGGGTACCAGGTTGTCTGGTCGGTGGGAGGGGAATCTGTCGGGATGCCTCACTGGGAAGGTCTGTGTGGATTCTGATGTGAACACCTCAGGGGCCTCGCCATGTGGGTCTTCCTTCTCCTGGCTCTTCTCCCTGTCTTCTCTGTCCTCCTGGCCTCTACCTTCCGCTTCCAACTGCCCATTGAAAGGTTCTCCTAGGAGAGGCAGCACACACACAGAAGTGAGATCCCTTTGGACATTTTGTTGAGAAAGGATGAAAAGGGAGACAGCTTTGCCACCGGACAGAGTGAAAACAGGGGTCCACTTGAAATCATAGCGATATTTTTTAAAAAGGAAATACTCATTTCTCTCATACTTAAAGCATTTATTACTAAAAATCAGTAAGAAGTGGGTAGCTGGAGAGATGGCTCAGGAGCTAAGAGTACTCCCTGCTTTTGTAGAGGACCCAAGTTCAATTCCCAGCACCCATGTGGTCACTCCCACCAGTCCCAGGAACTCTAACACCCACTTCTGGCCCCCTAGAACACAGGCATACATGCAGCACACAACAAAAAACTCATAATAGTTTTAAAAATCTGTAAAAAATCTGTAAGGAGCTGTCAAAGGCCATGAGAAGACAATCCCTTCCCACAAACATACAAAGAAACATACAAACAGCCAAAAGCATTAACGCCTCTCAATTTCCCTCATAGTGAAGGAATCGCCTATGAAAACATGGACCAGGAGACCCTTGACTCTCTTTTTTAAACCTTAATAAGAGTTAGGAAGTTTGGAAGCTCAAGTCCCCAAACCCTCTGCTGGAAGGGGATCTCCACTTCTCCCGCTCTGCATGAGCGTGTAAACAGCCAGCTTTTGGAGAGCAGTTTGCCATCAGTGCTCCAAATGGTAACTGCACATACCCTTTGGCCTACTTATGTCATTTCCAGACCGCTAAGCACACACACATTCTCACTCTTCCGCTTAAAGCTGTGCATAGAAATACGGTCACTAAAATATTCTATGACACAGCAAGACAACAGACTTCAATGTGAAGTGACAGTAACATTTAAACAACATCACAGCACAACTATGAAATGGAAAAAGAACGCAGCGTGGGTATGTTCTAACAGCGGCACGGCTGACGCTTGGTGAACAAAACTGCACAGACTTGGGTTTGTGCACACACACACACACACACACACACACACACACACGTGCAGCTGCGAGTGGCAGGCCACTTCAGAGGCACTGAGACCTCATTGTTCACCTTCCTTGTCAGCTCTGAGAGGTAGCTGTGCTCTTAGCTTTTCTTGCTTATTTTCATTCTGACAGATAAGATGAAAGCTGTGTGGTTATCACAGTGCAAGCCTGGGATCTCAGGACGGAGAAAGCCGAGTTCCCACAAGCATCGGGGTGGACAGGTGGAGGGTGCCATGGAGAAGGACTTTTCAGACAGAGACATAGCCAATGTGGCCTGAGACTTTGCATATTTCCTGAGCATCAAGGACCCCATCATGCACCCCACAATGTCCTTAGAGCAGACCACATCTGGGCTGAGATGGGGCCTCAGCTTGCAATCCCACCCTCCAGTCTTTGCCCCCAGCACGAGCTGAAAGGTTCCCTGAAGCTCCTGTGAGCATCTCAGGGCTCCAGACATTGCTTCAGTCCACCAGATCCCAGGCCCCTTTCCTTCTGCTTGCTGCATGTATGTGTGCCCAAGGAACACCCATCATGTGTGTACAGCCTCGGGTTGACTTGAGAGGGAATGTTGTTCGGCATACTGCAGAAGAATGTAACGATCAGGTTGGTTTTAAGTTGACTAACTGCAAACAGTGACCTCTGGTATGTAGACAAATGCTCACATTATCCACAGCCAGGACTGATTTGAATGGAAAGGGGCGAGGCAGAGCCACCGCACTGTTGAGAGTGATTCCCTCTGTGGGAGAAAGGGAACTGAAGGTTGACGCTTCTGTTGTTGTTTCATTTTAACTTATGTTATTATTACTTTTTTCTCCTTGTGTGTGTATGTATACATGTGTTTACATAATGTGAATGCACGTGTGTTAGATTGCATATGCAGGCCTGAGGTTGATAGCAAGAGTCTTCCTGGTTGCTCTCTACCGTATTCCAGACAGGGTCTCTCAGCTGAACCAAAGCACATTGCTGCAGCCCCTCTAGCCAGGCCGCCTGCTCTGTGATCCTCTGTCTCCGCCTTCTGAGTGCTGGAGCTGCAGGTGGGCTGCCATGCCCGCCTGGCAGTTAGGCTGGTTCTGGAGCCCTGAGCCCTGCTCTTCCCTTGCTGGGTACACAAGCCTTGGTGCTATCTGTAGAGCAGTTTTAGGTGGACAGGAAGGAGTTACCAGGGCCCAGGTGTTCACCAGTATCCTCAGAAAGGAAAGAGATGGTTAACTGCGAGCCGGAGGGGGTGAAGCCGTGAAGGGAGCCTAGTGAGAGTGAGTCTTCAAGTGTGTATTGTGGTAGCTGTGGAGGTAGGGGAGAGGGTCAGCAGCCATGGAGCTGAGGTTCCGAGAAGGTGAAGCAGGAGAGGAATGGACACTGCCTGGGACACACTGGTCTTGCCTCATGAAACGCTTTTTAGACCTCTGACCTCAGACCTGTAAGACCACTGCCTGGATGTTCTTTGAGGCTACCGGCCGGAAGGCCATTTGCTACAGCAGCAATAGGAAGCCACCACAATCCTCTCAGAGCGGGGGCAGGGCTGTGGCTTAGCATCGAGTGAGTGGACAACCCATCAGCGGGACCCAAACGGCAAAGCATGCTCTGAGACCAAGTGCACTAACAAGAAAATGTGCCCACAGCTTTCTCTGCATTGTTCAGGACACAGAAGGTAGGGGCACAAGGAGAGAGGGGGCTTTAAGACAAAGTGACTCAGAACGCCTGCTGGCAAAAGGAGCGGCTTTACCTGGTCTCCTGTGGGGTGGCACCTGTGGGCTGATGGCGTTGTGGCCCATGATCACGTACTCGTAGTGGACTCCTGGGTTGGGCTGCTGGTGTATCATCTGGGGACACAGAGTCAGGGTCAGCACAGCCTGAACACTGCCTCCCCCCCCCCCCCTGGCTTGGAGCTCAACACTGTGTGTGGTTAAATGTGCATGGTTTCGTCTCGTTACACAGCAAACAGTCTGTAGCACATCAGGTGAGGTTACTTCCAGTGGCTTCTTGTGAGCTGCTCTTGAGGAGTTAAAGACCTCACGTGAGTATGAATCAGAAGGAGAGTGGATGAGCGGTCAAGATTTTATGAAGATAAGAGTTAAGGTTTTATAAAGTCCAAACTGGACAGGAGCTTCTGTAGGAGAACCTGTGCTGGCAGCCATCCTCAGGCCGGGGCTCGGATCTGTGGCCTCTTAAGTGTCCCCGGATCGTTACACTGCAGAGGAACCTGTTTGAACACTAGGTGGTGACACAGAGCCAGGCAAACAAGGACCAGCTCTCTTGAGCAGGGCTAGCCTAGACCAGCAAGGGCCCTTTAATATCCATCACTAGGCACAAGGCCTGCTCCAGTCCTTAGTCCCTTGTAGTTTGCCTGGGTCCCACTCACTCTCACCCACAGAAAGCCCCAGGACTGTAATGAAATGGAGTAGAAAACCAAAACCCAGGCCAAAAACACAGTAAAAAAAATAAGTCTGCCTGGGTCATATTCTTTGAGGAAACAGTGATAAAAACAAACAAACAAACAAAATAAATTTAAGCAGGACTGCAAGCAGGAAGCCACGCGGGCTGCAAAAGTCTGGGACAGAGGCCCGAGACAGGTGAGCAAGGACAACAGAGGTAACCCCTCTCCGCCCTGTGCTCACGGCTGTTATGGTAGGGGGCAGGAGATGGATGGGCGGACGGGAGCAGCAGCACGGCGGGGGGCCAACAAGGAAACACTGTCCTGTTGGCATCTCTGCTCCCTAAGTGGCTCTCGCTGAGCAGTTGTGCAACCCAGAGGCAGTCTCCAGATCCATGTTTTACCTTCTCCATCAGGAGGGGGAGGAGAGGGATGACTGGCTTTTGAGGTCTCGTTGCCTCGCATGTATGCCAAGCCGCGTCTGCACTGGAGCCCTGTGTGTCTCTTTCCCACTCACGACACTCTCTCTTGCCTTCTCCCCACTCATGAAATGTGTTCCCCCTCCCCAGCCCTCACCCAGATGTGAGAGGCACTCAGCTCCTCATAGCAGGAGCCAAGACCAACTCATTGGCACTGTGGAAAGATGGTGCTGAGTATGGGACCCCTGAGGGACTCAGCTGTGTGAGTGCAGGTCCTCACTGTCCACCTGGCCCTCTCAGTTCCCTTTGCACATAGTCCGTTTCTCCTTCTGCCCTCTCCCGTACCCCTTCTCTGTGAGGAAACACACTGGCTTCTGCCACTGAAAGCCTCGTGCTGTTTATGGGTTATTGTTGGCCACCTTGCCTAGACCACCCACAGGAGGCCGTTCCCACCGTACCATTCAGATCTACCCAGAGTCAACCAACCAAGCACGCGGCTCACAAAACAACACGTTTACTAAAACAAGGCTTCTTCTGTAACTCCCAGCCTTCCGTCCCTCAGGAGGAACAGACCAGGCCTGTAGGTTTGGGGAGGCTAAAGCCCTGACTCAGCAAATATTAGAGGGACCAGCATGGCTCTGGGACAGTAGGTATCTGTGTGGTTATTTTAAGCGTTTGTTTCCTGTCGCCCTTTACTTCTCCATCTTTTCAGGTTCTAGTGGCTCCCTGTGTATACACACATATGTGTCTGTGTGCATGTGGAGTCAGAGGTCAGCCTCGGCTGTTATTCTCAGGAGCCGACCGCCATGCTGCTTGAGACAGGCTCTCTCACTGAAACCTGGGCCTCACCTATCGGGCCAGCCAGCGAGTCCCAGGGATCCTCTGTCTCTCACTCCACAGTTCTGGGACTACAGACATGTGCCACCCATCTTTTTCATGGGTGTTGAGGCTGGCGCCCAGGTTCTCCCACCTGGAGGGCTTATAGACTGTGTGCCTCAGGCCCCCTCTCGTAGTGTCTTAAAAAAAGACCATTAAGAACAACTGTTGGCCAGCTGAATATTCTGGCGTCAGGTAAAGAAACGGCAGCCCCGGGTGTGAGAAGCAGGGCCCGTGGAGCGCATTTCATCCTGGTCATCTGGAGTGCTGCTTCTCCATCCTCCTCGGCAGAACTGAGAAGGTTGGACCGGTGGGCTGCTCTGCACTTGGCATTTTCTTTCTTTTGCCGTAAAAGAAAACATGCCAAATTAGCATCGGGAGGAAGGACCCTGGAGGGGCTCCAGGGCTCGTGAAACGGGATTTGTTTGCCTCTGATTCGGTTCAACAAGGAAGGTTGGTTTTACTGGGTCCATAAACTCCGAGGGTAATAAGGCACCTGGCAGAGTTTATGGTTTCTGTGGGGCTCCTCCACTCAGGGGTACATGTCAAAGACCAGTGCCAAGCACCGGAGAGTCCCTCAAACAGGCTCCACTCAAACCAACTTGCGGAGCCTGGGCACAGACACGCTGCCTATTTGCTCAGAGTGCTCCCCGGGAGCTGCAGGAGCCCTAACCCAAAGGGCACCCCAACACCCAAACTCACATAGACATCCAGGATCTCGTTGGTGGGGCCTTCAGCCAGAAAGGACTCCCCGGCCGTGCTGGAGATCTCGTTGGGCCGCTTGTAGGTGAACATGGTCCCTCCGCCCTCGTACTTCCCCGGGCGGTCGATGGCCCAGTTCCCGTTGATGATGGAGCGGCCCGAGCGACTTCGCAAGGCTGTGGACACAAACGCGGCAGGGTCGCTAAGCTCGAGCATGCACGAGACGGAAACCTGAGCACCCAGGTCACCACCCAGTGGCCCTGCGGCGTGCAGAGCTTGAGAGCACACCCCCTCACCTCAACCAGTCCCTTCCACGTGAACTTGAAAGAGCAGGAGGGAGCCAGGTCCGGGAGAAAAGGATGAGAAGCAGAGGGGAAAGGCAGCAAGAGGAGAATGAGGTGGGGGGGACCTTTATGCTGTGTGTCACTACTGAGGGGAGGGCCAGCCTGCGTGCTGATTTTGGCCCGGTTTGAGTTTTGTACTGTTTTTTGTTTGTTTGTTCGCTTTTTTGTTTTTAATAAAAGGAAGCATAAATTTAAGAATTAGGAAATTTCACATAAAAATTTGAGAGTCCTGGATTTTTATGTAAAACAGGAAGGCATGTTAACCTTGGCTCAACATTCTCTCAGGGACACAGGTGCTCAGAGGGATGCCTCTTTCCTAGGGGCCCTGCCGGCCCTGACCACTTCCTGTCCCAGCCCATTGTCTGTCATCCCTCGACAGTGAGCAAGCCGCACTGATGAATACAGATCTTTTACGACAGTTCCAATGTTCGCTCTTCTCCCTGCAGGACAGCACTGATTCTGGCTGCACACTTACCAACAGTGGCAAAGGCTTCCTTTCAGTTTGGACTGTGTGCCTGGCGGAGTCAACAAGGACCACACAGTCTTCTGTTGTTTCTGGCATTTGCTTTCTTTTTCATTCCCTTCCTGACTTCTGTGTGTGTAAGCTTGGAGGTTGATGTCGGGAGTCCCTCTCGTTATTCTCAATCTTATTCATGGAGGCGGGGTCTCTCAGCTGAGCCCAGACCTTGAATACGGCTAGTGTGGCTGGCTCATTCTGGGGCTCCCATCTCCGCAGAGCGCTTTCTGAACGGGAGAAGGCGTCCCTTCCCATCCAGAACATATCTGAGTTCTGTTGATGTAAACTCTGGTCCTCATGGCTGTACGCAGAGTGCCTTGACTGCTGAGCCACCCCCCAGCCCCTGTAGGCTATGGAGCCGCGGGCTGCGCTGGAGACTTCTGTGCCGCTGTCAGAGGTAGCCCTCACCGGGTTGCCAGCAGCGTTGTGAGCTTCATTTTCCAGACACTGGTTGTGATTTGAATGTGAAAGGTCGACCTCAGACTCACATACTAAACACTTGGTCTCCAGATGGTGGGACTGTTCAGGAAGGTTGTGGAACCTTTAGGAGGCGGAGCCTTCCTGGAGGAAGTAGTCACTGGGGGGTGGCCCTGGAGCCCCACTTCCTGTTCACCCTTCTTTGGTTCCTGATTTCAGCTACAATGTATCCAGCTGCTGCCTCATGCTAGCCCTGCCTTCCCTGACACCTCTAGACAGAAGAAATCCTTTCTGCCTTGAGTACAGTACATTGCTTCAGGGACAGGACGTGACTTAAGTTCATGAGGACTTGGGATCCCAGTAAAGGGAAGAGGAGAAGGAAGAGGAGAAAGAGGAGGAGCGGGAGAAGAAGAAGGGTGAGGAGGTGTTGGTAAAGGATGGCATTACTTATGGGAGTCTTTTAGGAACAGCTGGCACCTTGAAACCCACATGACAATGGTGGACTTGGTTGAAAGATGTCCCCATTGTTACATATGTTGCCAAGTCATCTTCTGTTATTTATGTTTGCAGTCAGCCTCGGCCAGCCCTGCAGAGACTCACAGCTGGTCAAGGTGCGAGAGCGAGCAAGGTGCTCAGCCCTAAGTGAGATGTCTGAAGCAAACCCCCCGGCTCAGGCCGCGTCCTGGGAGAACAGGAGGACAGGCTGCAGGGCCAGCGGACGGAGCCGTGCTGGGACGCGCTGTCTTCTGGACGTCACTTGGCCACTGCATCCGTGTGCTCACTGCAGCCTTGGTTGCCTGGGCAAGACCTGACGAGCACAGCTAACACTCCAGCGGCCAGTGCTGACTGGACTCAGCAGGCTGGCAGCAACAGGAGGGGACTGTCTGGAAACAGTGGCAGCGGAGTGCGGGGTGGGTGTCATCAAGACTCAGGAGGCATGTATGGAACTGGCAAAGGATAAGTAAAAGGGTCTAAAACAATTAATACAGATGTTGACCCCCCCAAGTTCCCATTCTAAACACAGCGGGCCTCCATCTCTTTGTGCCTTCGCTGTACAGAATGAATCAAGTCAACCTTTTAAAACTCCATCACGAAAATTTAGCTATAAACAGAATTAGACAGGGCAGTGTAACACATCACCCAGTTCCAGGTCACACTCACAGCCTGTCTTACTGCACTCTGCAAAGCCACGATTTCATTTATACCTAAGTATAAGGGTTCTTCTGTTCTGAGGCCCATTTCAGCAGCGTGTCTATAGCGGGTTTTCTTAGAGACCAGGCCTTTAGAGCCAGAAGCTTCGTGAAGGGACAGAAAGCCTCCGAATTTTCCCCTGCACACTGGAGCCTGACTGGAATAGCAAAAACCCAGGGCAGAAACTCAGGAAGAGGAGATTCAGCCACTGAAAAATGTATCCTCAGAGGCTGAGGACACAGACAGCTAGTTGGGGGAGTGCCTGCATGGTACACGGACACCCTAAGTTCTGCCCCCCACACTGCAAAGAGCCTAGTGTGGGTAGCTCACCCCTGGGATCCCAGCACTTGGAAGCAGAGGCGAGAGGATCAGAATTTCAAAGTCACGCCTGGTCGCCTGGTGAAGTGGAGGCCAGTATGGACTGCCTGAGGTCCTGGCTCAGCAGGGAAGAACGCTTGCTGTTCAGGCAGAGGACGGGGCTCAATCCCAGCACCGGGGCGGTGCCTCCAGCTGCGGCAGGTGCGACGCCCTCTTCCAGCCTCTGATGGTATCCGTGTCACACGTGGTGCACAGACATACACGGAGGCCAGACACACATACACACACGAAAGAGGAATGGGAAAGAGGCACCCTTGGGGCTGGAGAGACCGCTCCGCAGTTACCAGAGCGTGCTTGCTGCTCCTCCTCCTGGGGTTTGTTCCCAGAACCCACACTGGGTGGCTCAGAACCCCTTGTAACTCTAGCTCCCTCTTCTGTTTTCAATGGCAACTTCCACATGAAGCTTGTGTGAAAACACAATAAAAAGAATATTCTTAAACAAACAAACGAACCAACACAGCTCATTTCTCTCAATGCCCAGACAAGGTTTCCTTTGGCTTCTGACCTCAACAGTCCATTGAAAGAAATTAAAGTGAAGGTTTCTAATACTTCCATGTTGCTAAGTCTGCTCCTGTGCCTCTAACTGACATTTCCTTCATGATGCTAGGCTCTCATTAAAAATGTCCCTCTACTCTAAATCTCTCTCTCTCTCTCTCTCTCTCTCTCTCTCTCTCTCTCTCGTGTGTGTGTGTGTGTGTGTGTGTTTTCTCTGTGTAGTCCTGGCTGTCCTGGAACTTGATCTGTAGACTAGGCTAACCTTGAACTCAGAGACCTGCCTGCCTCTGCCCCCAGAGTGCTGGGATCAAAGGCGTGCGCCCCCACTGCCCAGCCACCTCTAAATCTTACTCATGCCTTAGATGCTAATTTCCTCTGGAGAATCTTCTGTCCAGTGTAGCCTGTTTCTTTCCTGATCTGTTCTAAGAGATGCAGAGCCTTCCTTCAAGGCCACCATCCCTTTGTCTCCCACGAAGCTCTCAAAAGGCCAAGAGACTAATGATTATCCACAGTACAGCTTGAGGGCACAACACATTGCTCACTACAGAGATATTTGCTGAGCATAGGAATACTTGAGAGGCTCCCTGCACATATGTGGCCGATGGGAGGCTTCATATGGGAGCCTGGTGAGGTGGGGGCTGTTTCTAACATGGACTCTATTGCCTTCTTTTGGATAGCTTCCCCCTGGCAGTGCTGCCTTGCCTGGCCTCAGAGGATGAGGACATGCTCAGTCCTGATGTGACTTGATGTGCTGGGGAGGGTTGGTGGGGATGAGGGAGTCCCCCCTTTTTTGGGGGTGAGAGGCAAAGGATGGGAAGGAGGGGCTGGGAGGAGAGGAGCAAGGGGGCACCCTTGGGATGCAAAGTAAATAAACTGAAATTAAAGAAAAATACTTGAGAGGAAAAAGAAGGAAAATACAGTTAGGGAAAGAGTAAGAAACAGGCGGTTCATAGAGAGCCAAGTTCAAGTATTCCAAAAGCAAATGAAGTATTGTATTGGGCTAGAACTAAAAAAAATTCAACATTACCAATATAGCCAGGTACAAAGTAAGCAAGAACCCTGACACAGCCGATGAGAACTTGGCTCTGCCTCACTGGAGGGCAATTTGATCTCGCTGTTAAAACTCCATGTGTGCTTTGGCCCAAGAGTTCCACTTCTGGAAAAGAGCTTGAGCAATATATTTCTGCAAGCCTACAAGCCTGTTTATAATGGTGATGTCCTCTAGGTACACAAACAGCCCCAGTGCCCACCAGCGAGAGGCTGCGTAGGTAAATCATGACACTGATACCCACACAATGGAAGCGCCAGCCCCACACGGATGAGGGGGTCTGCATGCAGGAACGGACCCAGGACATGCTTTTAAAATGTGTGCACGCACCTGTGCATGCCATCGTGCACTTGCAGAGGTCGGAGAACGCCCGGGAGGCTCAGGCCTCACCTTCTGCCTGGTTGCAGATAGGATCGTCACTACTCTACACGGCAGGCGATCTGGCCCACGGGCTTCTAGGGATCTTCATGTCTCCACTCCCCACGCTGCTGCAGGGACACTGGGATACCGGTGTGTGCTGCCACGTCTGGCTTGGGTGTCAGTTCCAGGGATCATGCGTGTGGGGCCAGCACCCTACTCGCTGAGCCACGCTCCAGTCCAATGATGTTTAAAATAGTATTCACAAAATAATCAAAAAAGAAGGAAGACCTGTGCAAAGCTCTTTGACTGAGCATGCTTTTCAGTGAAGCTGTGGAGAGTTTATGCGTATATACATGGGTATGTACATAAATGCACACAAAACTATTTAGAACACACGCCTGTCAGCACTTGGAACAACTGGACATG